TATTTTGAATCAGACCATTGTGATTTGAAACGACGAAAGTTATTCTAATTTTAAAATGTAGCAATATTGTAATTTAAGTAATCTGATTTTACATTTATCAATATTTACAGATATTCAGATATTAAAATTTATTTACTTTTTCTTTATGGTATCTCGTATGCTTTATTTTTTATAATTTCGTATGAAGAAAGAGTTTTATTCTTTGCGACACGATTTTAATTCGTGATTTTCGTGTAAATATAGTTATTACAAAAAATTACAGAGTCCATATCAATACAGTGTGTCAATACGATAGTAAATAATGAAGCAGGCTTTCACTATTTGTATTCTCGCATTCGTTCACGTAGCTCGTGTGTTTACATTATTCAAATACCAATCGAACACACGATCATCAAGAAACTCATATGAAAAATAACATAAAAGATTAGAAACTAAATTTTAAACAATTATTTTCCGTCATATCTATTGAAATATCATCATATTTATTGAAATTTTGACAATTCTTGTTTTCGCCACTAGTATACATAATCCTTCCATTTCGATTATGTGAAGATTTCGAAATCCATTACGATTTTTTTATAAAAAATATCGTTATAGGGATGAGAAAAAAACGCGCGTAGCAATTAGCAAAAGAGTATCCAGTCTTGGCGAACCTTTGTTGAGTTTTATGCAAGCGTATCGTTTATCTCACAGCTGTGTTTAATGTATACTTTACATTTGCTCGGTTCCATACACGTACTATTCTGAGACAAAACAAAATTCTCACTGCCATAAGTTACTTTATAATGCAAATCCATATAGGTGTCTAAGTCGTGATACTTGTTTTAGTAAGTCATTAATATCCATTCCAATACATACAATATAAATAAAAATGGATCAATATAAATTCTTGGAAAGATAATTAGCAATAAAATTCTTCATGAAAAAAATTGAATAAGATGATGCAATACAATTTTAAAAGTTTATTATGCTGTCATAAAGCTCGATCACTACGATAAACGATAAGAGATATCTTCTACAAATTTTTTTAAGGTTTGACACAAGACCTGAAAATATTGTTTTTTCAATATATCATTAATTGAATTAAAATTAAAAAATAAATATTTTTAAATAAAAGAAAAAATATATATATGTATATACGTATATTGTATAATACACATAAATTAATATTTTTTATTTAATTAGAATCTTTTATTTTTAATATTTTTTAAAAGTCATTTTTGAAAAGTTGTGCGCAAACATTATTATTTTAAATACAAAGAACAATTTTGACAAAATTTTAATCATTTTACGCGCATTTTGGAATGTTAAGAATGGAGAAATAACTTATATAAATTATTAAATATATTTCAATTATTTGTTTGATGCGTAGATAACGCGATAAGGAATCGTGCATGTGTAATCTCATGGTAAATAAACAACTTGATAATAATGAAGAACGAAAATGTAGTTGTATTTAAAAATAACATGTGCGTTTCAGTGTACATTTAGTATCTCAATGTTTCCGTTAAGAAAAAATCAATATCTAAATAAAATAAAAATCGAACGATGCTCTTGCGATGCTTTTCGCATTTAAATCTCTGTTCATCGCAACTAAAAATTATTATAAATTTTATCACAATTCAAATACACGATAAAAGTTAAATTTGCACCGAAATATGTTGGTATACACTTTTGAAAACTGCATCTGTCATTCCGGGCCGCGACTTTGATTCTTTTTCATTACCTCAGGTATCCAGCGGTATTTCGGTTTCGATGCGCACACGTTTCGTTCCGTAAGCAGCAACAGCTGCTAGGCGGTCGTTTCTTTCGAGGGGAATTAAAATGAGATCCAGTTGCCGAAGAAGGGAGCGTCCCTCGCGAAACTTGTTGGCCATGGTATACTTCTTGGACGTGTTGCACCCCTGCCCTCCTTCGTCAACAATCGAAATTGTGTTATTCTGCAACGAAAGCCAATAGTGTTCTTTCGCACGTGCACCAGCATGATCGGTTTGACTTTTTATTTCTTATCCTTCTACAAGCGTTGCAGAAATTGTGTTAATTTTCTAGTGTTAGTTTCGTAATATTGCGCAAAACTTATTCCGAGACCGGTTCTTTACGAAAAGTTGAAGAGTTATGTTTTAATGAATCGATAATTTAGATATTTACATAAATTCTATCTATATATTTTGGAATCGACGATTGAGAATATAAAGTTGCATTAAATAAATTAAAGGAATAATATTTTAGTTTCTATTTTTTGGCGTATAATAAATAATGAAAAAGGATATTTTTTTGTACACTAAGAAATATTTTTATCAGCAATTTCTTTGATATCAATTAACACTTAAACGTTTTTACATTGAGCACTTGAAGTACTTAGAAATAGATATGATGTAAAGCACTCGAGCTTTATTTTTTTTCGAGGAAAGTAAGAACTTTAGTAACAATAATGAATGTTTATTGAGAATGGAAATATACCGAATGTTAACCACATATGTAGGCAGTGGTCATTTTTATCAGTTGTTTTCTTTCCTTTGTATTATGTAATTTTCTGACATATAAAACAAGCGCATAGTGAATTTTTATATCATGATGATCCTTATTTTATTATTATACAATTGCGATAAAATTATAAATCATAATTAAACTTATATGAATTATATGCTCAATTTTTTAAAAATACAACCAAAAGTGTATTTTCGACAAAATACGTTTTTTTTTGCAGCAGAGAATTTAATAATTTGTTTATATCTTGTGAAACTATTATTGACAATAAGCAGTTTGTCGTATTGTAAAGAAATTATCTCGCACTTTACTGAAAAAATAAAAGGAATCGTTAAGGTAAAAATATTTTGCAAGTTACAATACCGAAAGATATTCGTCGCAAGGTTTGCGGAGAAGCTCGCACTCATTACGAACCAAGATATGCTTATCGTCTATGGAATGCAGTTCGAGCCGACTCGTTATACTTCACCGGTACAAAATCATTTGTCTCAGAATGTTACGTTGCGTGCATTAACTATGACATTGCATATTGCAAATTGGCAATACAAAAGTCTTTTAACGAGAAAAGAAATTTAATCGCAAATTTGAAACTTGTTATGCAATACCTTTACAATAAATTTTTTTTTTCAAAATTCTATTTTGCAGAGAAAAATGTTTTTAATATTGAAAAAAATAAATAAATCTAATTTTTTATGAAAATTATGCTGAGAAAGAACACTATTAATAGTTAGGAAAATAGTATCATATTTTAATGTGCAAGGCAAGACGCAGAATGTTGATTAATAAATTCATTATAGCCATAATCGTTCGTAAATATACCTTACTTCAGATAGCTATGCACTATGATTCCAAGGTAGTGTTCATCATATGATTATCACTATCAGCGCTATAAATTAAAAGCGGTGAGCCATGACCACCTCCCATAATTGCTGAAGTTCAACGTGCCTGCCTGTTTGTATAGCTGACAGACGAATAAATGCATATAATGAGTAATGACTAACATCAGGCGATAATATCATAGGCATTACGATTCTGAGCGAACCTATTTTCTCTGGAAAAAATCAGATTGTTTTCATTAATTGACACAAAGGCAAATATTATCACAAGCGTGACACAATCTCTGTCAGCGCTCTTTGAATATCATAGCTAATGTTACTATCATGACGAAGTGGAGCAAACACTTCAGCGCATTCCATATTGCAATTTTGCATCGAAGATATACGGATATACTGCGATATTGTTTAGTACTATTGCGTAGTAAATATTAACAGAAATTAACATCTATAAATAATATATATACATATATTATTTTTTATCCTTCTTGTTTTACTGTTATTTATAGAATGATGTTGAAGAAAAAAAATTTTCTTGGTTTCATAGGTATTATCTTTTTTTATATATGCAATTTTTTCTTTTTGCATACATGTATTGTACATATAGTATACTTATATGCATGGTGTGCTATTATTTTGTTCTACATTATTATCTTCCCCGAAATGTGATTTCACATTAACTTACCGATGGTAGGATTTCTTCTACGAATGCTATACGATGAATGTGTGGTATTATACCCGCATTCTAAAAATAGAGATGCTTCATCCCCGAAGAGGATATCTGTATTAACGGCCGGAAGTAGAATAAAGTGGTTTCCGTTCTAGGCGCGAATAATGGAGAATAAGGATTCTTGCGCGCGACTTATTGTTAATATTTTTATGTCTTTACGCGGACAACAAATAAGT